TGTGCGTCTTGTTCGAGTTGGCAAGTATCTTTGAATGCGGGCTGGTAGGCCATCATTCTATAACCAAGGGTATCGACGACTCCTGCACGGTGGTCATCAGAGTCTTTTAAACGACGTGAGGCGGCTTGCGCTCACCGCATATTGCCCCAGCGTTTAATTGAAAACGGTCGGGCCCCAGGAAGGAGTTGGCTTGCGAGCCAAATGATGCTGAGCACCTCAGCGTTCTCCTGGCTCAAGTTGATGTACGAGTTAATTTCGAACGATCTTGGGTTGATGTCGTTTAGATCTTGGGGCGAAAAAATGATTCTGCGACGCAGGATATGAGAGCCAAATAAGAGCTCGTAGCGACGTTGATGAACTTACCTTTGCGACCCCGAGTCTTGAGTAGCTTTCTCGAAAACACACCCCGATCTCTTGATTGGCGGAGCCAAGGTCCAATTTGTGATGTGCCAGGCGGATTCCGGGCGGGGACATGTGGCCAAGGGTAGTATCGTAGGCACTTTCCCATGGGTCCGGGGAGAACATAACGGACCCCAAAAACCACTTCGCTCCGTTAGTATCGGCCATTCTGGTATGGTCGATCCACACTGGAGTCAACATGTGAAACATCCCCAGCCAATCCAGATGCCCTGCCAACTCGCTCACACCAGCCCCGTGTCGGAGGAGATGCGAAAATCTGGCCACGGCGGGCGATCCAGCTACCTGTCCGAAGAGAATTTCACATTGCCAACGCGACAGGCCGCTTTCCAGTCTGTTTGATTTGACCCACTGATGATTGGAGTTGGGATGGGCGACGGAGATCCCGATAGGGTCTCGTTTGACGCAAATAGCAAAATCCTACATAACGACAGTCATGATCAACGCGGACTGTCCGGGCTGTGCGTATAAGAGAACGATTGACCTCGCTGTTCATATTAACGGCGCCACTTTCACGAAGATAAGTGGCGCAGCCCTAAATTGTCAACTCGTAAGATTTGAGCGGGGTGTGGCGAGAGTAGGTGCACCTTGAATTGCTCGAACTTGTCAATGAGGGAATGATTCAATCTTGTGAAAAACTTCGAGATGCCGGGCTCACCAACATCGCCTCAACGCAGGCCCAGACGAGGTCGGATTTTGGCCGCTCAAATTGACGGTACGTAGCCAGTGGGATGAGGTCTAATGACGGTGAGACTCGGTGGAGTATGATACTGACTGTGTACCTTCGTAGAAAATCAAGGCATTGACGGACGACGCTGTTGATACCGAACAGTTGCCAGATATGCGGGTGCCTGTTAGTTATTAGTGAAACCGTCATAAAGTTGGGATGAAACTCGAGGGGAAGGACCTCAGGTTGCAGTGCAGTTCCAAGTCAGCGCGCCACTTCTAAGAAACCCGGTCAGGTAGTTTCTCAAAAGCATGAAGACATGCTCACCTCCGCTTCCTCCTCATATGTTGCCACCGTCATTGTACTTGGATGGCCCAATACACGAGCAGCGAACACCCTGATCTTGTGCACGTCGTTTCTCGTCGCTATCTCGTACAAGAGATTAATGTCGCCCAACGGGACAGTGCGATAGTTGGGCTCTGTTGTTGCGGAGAGACCAACTTGAAGCGCCGACACACCGTTCTGGATTGCACTGACTTGCAGATTGGTGTCGATCGTCGTGGCAAGCTGGGAAGGTCACTTTCAAAAAATGACTCCGCCGCAAAGTCCCTTACTAGAAAGTTGGTCCGCAGTTCAATGATCCGATTTCTGCACCGGGTGATTTCCTCTGCAGTCTTTGATGCACGCAGGAATTCACGAAATCTTCCGCAAATTCCAGGCTTTCGTTGCAACATTCGCTCCAAAACGGCCTGGACAGCTTGAAGGGATCTGGTTGAATGTGGATGAGGCTCAATTTACCCGCACAGTTGCACTCACGAGGTAAAGTCTCCCAGAAGAGTACCGAACCTCAGGGAAACCGATCCTTCATGCAGCATAATTTCCTCTTGAATCATAAGGACCATCTCGAACGCGCTTGCACAAAGGTCCTTGAGTTCCTCTCGATTGCTTTTGACTCTCTAAGAAAGAAACGGGTCAGTCCCAGGTACGGTGTGATTCAGAACACGGACCTTGACTGTTTCGAGGAAAATGGTGACGGTATCAAAGACCCCGCGCACCCATGGGACTGGAACGAATGCTGATCCTGTAGACATCACCCTTGTGGCGAACAGCATGTCGTCGAGCCAAGAGGATTTTGAGCAGCCCATTCCGTGCTGGGTTGCTGCGGTGTGAGACGGCACTATGGAGCTGCAACACGTTGAATCTCAACGTAATTCGTAGTGAATACCAACTATCAACGTAGTTTCAGTTGACTTGCGGTGATTTCAATTCACCGCAAGATCTACGTTGATTTCTGGTGTTCCCTCATTCAACTCAATTTACGTTGAAAATCAACCAAGCAGCAGAAATACCTTCTTTGCTGGATCAGTCAATTCGGCACATAAACAAGCAATTCGGACCTGTGGACGTCATTGGAAGTCCCACAAAATGGGTAGGGTGACTCGAGCCGCATCTCGACTTGATCGTGACAGCTACACACAAGTGTTTCAAACTCCGCTCGGATCAGCTTCCGATGACTCACATGGCGCATAATGGCGTGATTTTCCAGCTTTTTCTTTCTTCCCACTTCCTCGCTCGCCCGTATCCCCCCGCCTGACAATGTACATACGCCTTCCACGAGCCATCCAATGCAACATATTCGACCTCCCCATCGTGACATGTCGCCGCCCCTCCTCGCCGCCCCTCGACGCCGCTCACCCGGCCCTGGAACTCCGTTGCCACGTCGCAGACGTCGTCCATGTTCGCCTTCCCCCACGCTCCCTGTTCTCGCTCTCCATGCCTGTCCTCGCTCTCTCCGGCCCTCCCAGCCCAATACCAATGTGCCAATGCCCACCTCGCCGTCAAAGCCATCCACGCCGTCGTCAAGAGGCCGTCGCCAAGAGGCCGTCGTCAAGAGACCCATCCGTGCAAGATTAGCTCGTGCCTACGTCAAGTCCACGCCGTCTCGTGCGTCCCTCACCGCCTGGTCCCACCTCCCGATCGAGCCTTCCCGCCTACTCCGCCCCGGTTACCACGCATGTGCAAGTCAGGCGCATGCCCGCCTTCGCGTGCCCCGGATTCCCTCTGCCACACCCACCCTCAAGGTCTGAAGATCCTAGTCTGAACATCTTGCCGCCGCCGCGAAGCTCGCCCCATCGTCATGAAAATACAAACTACCTCGAATCGCTCCGGGCCTCTCTCATCGATACCTCCCCACATTGCCATCTCTCTTCGGGCCTACAACTTCTCCTGGTGCTACCCATCCCACCCCGCTCCGCTCAACCGCTTTCACCATGCATACCAGTGCTCCTTGCGCGGCTCCCGCTCACTTCCCACCTTTCGTCTAGTCCCGTCATCAATCGCTCGTTCGATTCGCTCCCAGCACCCTCGTGTGCAATATTGCGGTGCTTGTGTCACTTGTCAGTGGCTGTCGGGTGTTTAGCAAGTCACTAGCGTTGTGATAGTAGTTTTAATACACTCTTTTCCCTTTTAATTGCCTGAATCGAGGGATAATGAGCTGCTATGGGCGCTGTAGTGCTACTGGCTTTGTTTGATTCAACGTAAATCATGTCGAAATTCACCGGGAACCTGATGTGGGAGCTAGGTTGGAAGTGGCCATATCACGTTGATTATCGACGTAGATTTCAACGTAATTCGGAGGTGAAAATCAACGTAGGCTCGGTGAAATTCAACCTAGACTGCAGTGAAATTCAACGTACGGCGTGGTCGAAATTACGTTGAAATTCAACGTACCCTACCCCCCCAGAGCGGGGTGTGGTGGGAGCCACTGGGTAGCATTCCAGTCATGTGAACCGGCTAGTGGGTAGTTTCTGTACCCTTGCAAAGATCAAGAGGAGGCGGAACCTATTGGTGTGATTCTCTCTTCCCACTCAGTCGACCGATCTTCTGGAATGTCAGTGAGTGCTACAGGCTATCGCGAAGGAATAGTAGAGCTGCGTGAGGTAAAGCAGTCGTTTGTACATATGATTGAAATTTCCTGAGCTCGAATCCGAGGGAGAAGCCACAAGATAATCAAAGACCTGGGATGCAATTGAGAGTTTTTGATTGGATAGTATTCATGTAAGAGGGAGCAGTTGAGAAGAAAAGACCAGATAACTGTGAAACTCGCGTGCGAGCACGACATACATCCAATGGGAGACGAATAACTCACTCAAAACCCCGAGGCGCCCGTAGTACTCGCTCCTCGCTCGCATACCAACCTCGAGAGTGGGGTGAACAACTCGATCAGCCAGGGAATGAGCCTAAGTATCGGGCCCACAACGCCCCGACGCGCTGTAGTAACGCCCTCGTTCCATCGTACTTGGTGTTGGTAATGTCGAGCTCGAGGTTGATCCCAGCGTAGTCTATTTTGCTCGCGACGGCCTTGAGGACGGGTTTCTAGAGGATGATACCTGTGAGCGTCTTGGGAGCGAGGCGTGAGCAGGACACGCGTAAGAGAAGGTGTAGAAACGTACCCCGTGAATACCGCTGTCTACTCCATCGTCCATGAGCGCAAAAGTGAGAACGTTGGTTCCTGACCCGCCGGAAGGGAGCCACAGTGAAAGAAACAACGGCGAGAGACATACCTGTGCACTCCAACGCGTCTCTCATCATGATTCATCCGCTGCGATCTGGCAGTAATCCACGTCTCATCGTTCTCGAACGGCTGCAAGGCAAGGGTGAAATGGGGGTCGTTGGTGAATATGACGATCTCTTCTCTAATCCGCTGGTCTAGCTCAGGCATGGCGGGCGAATGAGGTTTTGCGCGAGGGAGGAAGATGGAGTTGAGCTCTCTTGAGAGGGAGGCAAGGAGGCAAGAGTGATGAGGTACGTAATACCGAGGATTGAATCAACAATCGCCAGCCCAAAACGGCGAGCATACGACTACCGACTCTCAGAGGAGCCGCATAAAGTCTGCTTCCGTCCCTACATTCCCGCCGCGTCCCTGGCTCAGTGGTCAACAGCGTCATCACCCTGAGACCAAAACCGGCAATCACGGGACTGGGGTTCGATTCCCTAGGGAGGCAGCCAGTGTTACTCCTTCGGGATAGTGTTGTGCGACGGCAAAGATCTCTTGCTACATGGACTGGATAGTCTGGACATTGGGCGATTTTTTGCAGCATTTTTTGGGAGCGTTTTGAATTGATCCAATGTCACAGTCAGGATCAAACACTGGGACGCACTGCGAATGATCGTCGAAGGCTGTACCATGACTGGATTAGCTCGCTCGCAGCAACGCGGTCCTACCGTCCGACTCCTCGCAGCTCTCCGCACGCGTCGATCCCCCACAGATCGCAGATCTCGCTAATCTAAGCGAGGCAACCGCAAATGCAATCCGATGATCAAGAGCAGCGCTCGAGTTTTCAACAATGTGGTCCGTCGAAGCATCATACTGTACATTTGGGAGGAAAGATCTGGCAGCAAAGACAGAGGCACGCCGTTCTCGGACTACATAGTTAACCAACTTCCAACCTTTGTTCAAACTCAATATGCGACACATAAAGGCGTCGAAGCTGCATCAATTCGATCATTGGACCTAGAGGCGTCCAGTCGTACATCCTTAGATATCCTCCGGAAATTCGTCGAATAGAACCTCGACGATGAAGGACTCGTAGTGAGAACGGCCTCGTGTTCGTCCCCATCGGCCTCGAGCTCAGTTTGATATCGAGTGAGCTGGAAGGGCTGCAGGAGATTCAGAACCGCTGCGCGCCACCCGGAGCCATAGCCAATAGCGACGTCAACCAGAGAACTGGAAACAATGGAGGGCTCGCTCATCGACTGAATAAATATCCCATAAGGATATTTTTCGTAACACGGGGAGTCGACGATGAGACTGGACATCCGAGAAGGATTCAGAGCTCCTCCCACCGCTCGGCATGCTCCCTGAGGTAGGAAAGATCGCGGCAAAGTCAATCTTGAGCGTGCGTGCGGGAGCTGGACAGCCTCGAACTGAGGGATATTCATAACTAAGTACCGACGTTGGTGATGTCGATAAGATATAGAGTCGTGGACCACAGTTCGTGACTTGGCGAGGGAAATCTGCACGCCAGTGAGTACGACTTCAGACATGTGTTAGAACCCAGGGACTTCCAATTCTCCCGCATAAAAGTGTCGGGGCTGGCATCTGTAGAAAGACTGGTGTACATGTGTTGGGAGCCAAGGATTTGGCCAAGGATTTCGGGCGCAAGTCGCGGGATGGGCGAAGATGGTACGGCTGCTGGAAGAGCGACGCGAAGGGGGATGCATTGCGGCGTCGAGGATCCGGATTCGATGAGCTTGGACGTGGATGTGGATAAGTATGAGCGTCCAGGTCAAGTCGCGATTCGAGACAGTTTCGAGGAAAATGGCGGCGGTATCAATGGGAATGGTGATCCTGTGGACATCATCCTTGTGGCGAACATGTAAGGCCTGGGCCATGCTAAATTGGGGAGAAGATGAGCGTCGGGAGCAAAAGCGGATCATGAGATGGGACAAACAGTGCACAAACAACCAGGCGATCCGACGATCACCCATGTCGGCCCCACGGCGCCTTCAGCGCCAGCCCTCCTTTGTCAAGCGCCCTCGCGAGGAGCTCGAGCAGATTGCTCGCGAGTCCCTGGCCGCAGTCCGACGCGGGCAGTACACCACCGACTTTGGTGCCGAATCACACCCGATACAAGACCTCTCCTCCGTCCCCGACTCGACTGAGTACTTCACCCCGGACTCCTTCGCAGACTGGGCCTCGGCCTCATACACTCGGCATGATGCTCAGACCAAGATCGTCTTATGCCACACATCGACCCTCGAAGGCTTGCGCCTCTGCCTGCACTCGCCAGTCTCCCCCACACTGCCCGGGATACTCAATTTCGCCTCTGCCACTTCACCCGGTGGTGGCTTCCTCTACGGTGCACGTGCACAAGAAGAATCGCTCGCACGCTCCTCCAATCTCTACTCTGCCCTCTCCTCTCCCTCCGCAGCCCCATTCTACGACCTTCACAACGCCGCCGAGGACCCACGGCACACACACGCTCTGATCCGAGTCCGAAGTGTCCGTTTCTTCCGTGACGATTCGGGAGTATGGGTTTCCCCCGCCGATGCCCTGGTCCTCTCCGCCGCGGCGCCAAATGTACGCGCCCTCCGTGCACAGCTCCAACGCGCCGGCGCACTGCCACCCGGCGAGGATACACCCCTGCCACCAAACGTCGCCGAAGCCATACACGCGCTGATGCATGAACGCATGGCGCGTGTCCTCGCTGCTTTCCGGGACGCGGGGGTGCAGGACCTCGTCCTCGGGGCTTTCGGCACGGGGGCTTTCGGCAACGACGTCCGTGCCACCGCAGCCGGCTGGGTGGCCCTCCTTTCGGGTGAGGCTGCCCCGTTCCGCAATGTCTTCCAAAGGGTCGTTTTCGCCGTCATTGATCGCGAGACGTGTGGCGTTTTCCGGGATGTCTTCAAGAAGGAAGGGGTGGATTTTCAATTGGTGTAATTATACTCTCTTATTTGTGTACTCTTGAAATCAGCGCAGGCGCAGCTGTATTTATCCGGGAGAATTCATTGGTTCTCTGCAAATCCTTCGCTCAGCAAAGTTCTCGTCGTCGTCCAGTAAAGGTTGCGTTGTCGTCTAATGATGTGGCGGGCTTCCAGGAGAAGCTCAGAGTTCCGTCAATGGTGGTCCATGGAGGAGGTGCGTTGTATTTCCTAGCTTCGTTCCACTTCACAGCAATCTCTCAGGTGAAGTCGTTGGCGCAACCCTTCGCAGGAACGGTTGCCGCGTTCATTGTTCAACGCATTCGCCACTGCTCATGGCCTATCACCTCAAGTCATCTCACCCAATGGCGATTGAGTCTCCAACACTCTCCCCGTTTTCAAGTCCAACTCGCTCCTTGCCGCTAATTTCGAGACCTTCACACAACGGACCCTGTCCGTGTCGCTTCCCTCTGATCTCGGCCTCATACATCCCATGACGGAATTCGTGGAACTCTTGAAGGCGCGGCTTGCTCCGATGACTCCCAATCCCTCATTCAACTCGTCCGTCTCCACTGGGGTAATCACACCTGCCTGTCTTCAAGTTCTGTACAACATTCCAGCGACGCCCCAGACAACTCACGCTCTACTCGTGATGGGGTACCAGCAGCAGCTTGCGCAACAGGCGGGATCTGACGGCGAGTAGTATACCGTTCTTAAGCGTCCTGTCCGGGACTTGGGATAAATTATTTCCGCGGGCCTTCTTCCAACTTCTGCGCACCGAAATCCCTTCAACTACGGTCTTTGCGCCCCTCCAAAGGGAGGGGTACTATACGCGCACGCACCTGAAAGGGCGGTGACGAGGCGGACCCCCATATCCGATACACCATGAGTACTTACAGTATTGCGACGGAAGTTCCCGCTCAGTACTTTCCTCTCTGTGGGTGGATACAACTTCGCTGCGGAGTACTACTAACCTCCTCGACACCACTACCTTCCTCGACCCTCCGACAGCCCCATGTCGACGTCCGGCGGTTCGACCGAGTCATCCTTTGGGAGCAGTAATATGGAGGCTAAAATGAAGCGCAACGATGTCAACAGATATCTCAGCCTCGGATCGAACGAGCACTCGGCCTAGTAACAGGCCGAGTGGCTGCGTCTCCTTTCTGCGATTCGCAGTGTCTCTATGATTGAAACTCTTTTTGTGTCCGGTCGCGACTTTTTTTGTCTCTCTCGGCGCCCTTCAAGTTGTCTCTCCAACTCACTCGCAGCTGGCTTCCGCTTGTTTCTCCTTTTGCGCGCGAAGATGTTGTCTCGGTTTCTTGCTTTGTGGCTCCTCTCGACGCAGACGGATCTCCATTGGCGACGGACTCTAGGCTCCCTGTATAGCCCACCCCTCAAGTTGTGCCGCGGACCTCATGCGCGACTGACCGAGCTGGATCATTTCATCTATGGACTAGGCAAGAACCCCCACTAAAAAAGGCACGCATTACACATTATCCTAGCCTCGAATCGAACGAGAACGCGTGGAGGCGCGGACCACTGCGGATTCATCACTTTTACAGATGCGTCGTCTCCAGTGGAGTGCTAGTTCAAAAGGGCATCGTTCAAGACTCATTGAGCGCTCAGGCTCGGTTCGAACGAGTTGCCAGTGAGAGCTTAGACAACTTGAAACACCCTCATGGCCATGGGAGATGCTGGCAATGCACTCACAAAGAGTCTTCATATCTCCGTTCGCGACTTCTCTGCCTCCCTCAGCGCTGCTGTCTCTCTGACCCACTCCCGTCTCTTCGATCTCTCAGCCACCTCGTACCTCATCCCCGGGCCCCTGGCTGTCGTTGCTCGCGCCGGCGCTTTTTTTTTTTTTGCCTTCATCCCGCCCATTGAATTGCTTTGTGGCTCTCGCACACGCATCTCTACGGGGGACGGACTCTAGGCTGCCTACTACTTGTAACTTGAGGTCACCCCTCTTGCACCGCGGAAGCCGTTAAACACGTTGACTGGCCGATGCTGGCTGTCGGAATATGCTCAACCCCATGAATTTATGTAAGTAGGAGAGAAAAAATCGGCGCCGTCACGCACATCTCGACCTCGAGTCGAACGAGTACCCAGATCTTTTAGAGACACCGAAGTGACCAGCGTCTGCAATTCAGAACGTTCCGTGGTCTGTATACATAGTATTGCGTTCGCGAAAGGCTGTTGTTCCCTGTTGGTTGTAGTGGCTCCGCGCTCAGCCTCAAGTTAAACGAAGACGCGCCGACTTTCCAGCGCAGACCGCTGTGAATTCATATCATCTGGGTACAAGTCATCTTTATGCAGGGCCGTTCTACAAGAGGGAAGAACAAGGGCCGTTTGTTCATCGAGGCAACAAAGTATCGAAAGGGACTGAAGAGACTCCGTGGCCTTCACAGCGCAACGCTCAACTTCGAATTGCAACCTTACCAGCACTAAAAAATCTACATTCAATGCCATTATCAAAGTTTACATACAAAAAGGAGGGTGGGTCAGATTATTAGAGGAGGAGTGAAATGTCACTATGTATCCTGACAGCAGCATTCCGCGCGGGGTACCCAGTATAAACAGC